GGCAACAGTAAAAATACCTTTGGGGTGGCCCTCAGACTGCTGAACATATTTAATTCAATGAACTGATATCAAACAATTTTAAGAAAACCGCCACAATAGGAAGGAAGAACTGTGATGATTTAAGCAGTTTTGTAAAGATCTGCCCCAGTAGAGCTTGCCATGACAGTAAATTAATTAATTTCAGTGACAGTAATCAGGTCACAAATAGAGGGCTTGGGCCAGGGCTGGGGGTGGAAGGATGTGGGGAAGTAATGCTGGGGGAGTGGAAACAAGACAAAGAGACCATAAAAGCCTTTTTTTTTTGTGGTGGATCTTTGTTTGAAGTTGTCTTTACTACCACCAACTGAACAACTCTATTATATTTATGCTTCTCAGTGTGGCTTATGTAGATTCCAGGCTTCTTGAGAGAAGCAACCTAAAGTATTCACCCTTTCTTTTACTTCTTAATAATAATAGATTTTAAAAAGCCACGTGTAACCTGTGGTTTCTCAGGGTGTGTGTGTGTGTGTGTGTGTTCCATAAAACTTTACACAGAAAAGAAAATCATAACCACCTTCTTTTGGACTCCAAAATAGAGCACAGATGGAAAAAAAAAGTGTATTTACTTATAACAGAAAAAACCAAGAGTCACTTGGACAACATGATTTATTACCACAAAATACATCCCAGGCACTGTCCAAGGCACTTGCATGACACATAAGGTCATTTTTTTGACTTCCAGAGACCAACTGGCTCTTTGTGTTACCATCTTAGATGTGTTCATCCGTATGTGTTTAAGTTTCGACTAACACATCCATGAAAGTCCCTGTAATTTATACTGGGTAATTGTTCCTGAATTGCTTAAATAACTGTAAAATTAATCAAATCTTTGTCTTGCTGAATATACACAGAAAAATGTTACTTGGAAATACCTTAGAGTTGGGCATTGATGTTCCACGTAAGTCAATGGATTGTGGGAGACTTCACAATCACTGGCTCGCAAAATTGATAATAAACACCATCTCCTACGAGAAAGAGAAGGAATCTAACTTCCCGGTGTGTGCCACCTGCCTTTTGCCTAACAAATCTGTGGAGGACCCACGGGTGCCTCTGCTGTTCTGTGGGGAGAGAAGTCATCTTTGAGATTAACTATCTTATGTTTGAACAAGGCCTAAATGGAGTGAGTTCCATCATGTGTTCTCACGACTCATGCCACCTAAAAAGCATTTCAGGGTTAATTATAGCGAAAAAATTCACCAGGAGATTGGAAATGTCTTCTAAATACTTGAGCAAAATTTGTGTTGAAAATGAACTGTTGAAAGAAATATAACCATGTGCCTTTAAAATGAGACCTCTGGAATCAAGGGACATAAAGCAAATGCCAAAGTTCATGATCCCCCTCCCTCCCCTACTTAATAAAAGCACCTATATTTCACCAGAAATAAAATTTTATTAGCAACATGTCAAATATGTTTTAAAATACAGTGCCCTTTCTTCTCCCTCTCAGTTTAAAAAACAATCCAATAAAAACTCTAAATCATGACCCAAATATTTTTTAAATGTGAAAAAGACATATTTTAGATTATGTAACAGATACACATTTCCCCAAATAAATGTTGTAGAACACCATCTGCTTGATATTTGGGTGTGTTCCCGCAAAATTAAATGTCTGCTTTTCTCCTTCCATTAATGGTTTGCAACAAATTTATGACACTATATTTCACAATAGCTAAACCAACAATTTATGACCGCAGGGGAGCCTGACAAAAACCACTTGGCATGCTCAAGTTAGACAATTTACATGGCTCCCTCATGTACACCAATCCTCCACCCCTTACTCAGATGCCAGCTGAAGAGAAGAAGGCCCGCAGCAAGGGGGGAGGTGGTCTCTCAGGGAATAAAGCTCAAGAAGGCATTCAAAACAAGAAGTTGAAGTTCCAGGTACCATTTTTCAGCTCAAGTTTACCAAATTCTTCCACCTATGCAGACACCTGTAAGTCTGAATTTAATATAGATGTTTTTATAAGATTTTCTCAGGTTTGGCCAAGCAAGAATTTGCCAAATTCTTATTAACTGTGAAAAAAATTTTCATCCTTAGTCTAATGTTTCCAAATGGAGCACCCTCCCTTTTCTGGGTATAAAATCAAGGGGAAAAAAATCAAGAAAAGAAATTTACCACGTGTTACTTCTGGACTGATTAAGAATGGTACAGCACTACATCCATGTTCTCCTTCTGCACTTGATGTGGATAAAATCTGTAAAAGAAATCATTTTTCTAGGTATTTTACCAAGCAAAATATTGTAATATTTGTGGCCAATTTGGAAAACTATGATACTTACTTTTTGCCTGTCATTTCTTTACAGAAAAAAATTTCTGTGGAAAGCAGACAAGAATGCATTTTCTTTGAAAGCAGTAAGACTACAGGCTCGAGTGTGTATTTCCATCCTCAAAGTGATGTACAGCCTCACTCCCCAAAGAGTGGTCTGCGGACCAGCAGCACCCATATCACCTAGGAGACTTGAGAAATGCAGACTCTCAGACCCCATCCGAGCCCTACTAAAAAATAGTTTGTATTTTAACACGGTATCCAGTAACTTAAAATGCACAAGAAGAGTAGAGAAGTGCTAATGTAGAGGAATGTTCTTTATTCATCCAACTATATAGTAATCCTTATGGAAAGACAGAAACTTTAATGGGGAAATTATGCCTGAAAGATTTAACCACAAATGTAACAACAAATTTAGACACGGTCCACTTAATAAGGAAATTAAAGTCCTGAAACATGATGCAATGCTGACGTGTAGCAATGAAGTGTGAGAAAGGGGTGGGGTGGGGTGGGGGAAACATAAATTTAAATTCCAAATATTAATCAACACTCATGGACTGCTTGAATTAATCACACATGATCTTCCTTTGTCTCCAACTTACGGTATTGTCTTTTGCAAAACATGTAGAACTGATCACTATTACATTGAACTCCAGAAACATAAAGATTAATTTTAGTAAACAATTATTTAATGACTAAGTACAGTAATTATAAAAAGAATTGTATCAAGAAACTGTGATGAATTCTAGTTTGAGATACTCTGGGAAACTTTTCCCAAAGGAGTTCAACCAGTACTGCAAATTGTTGCTTTCTTCCAAGTACTTTTGAGCAAGTCAGTATCAGTGACAGAGGGAAGGTGAGAGGAAAAGAATTAGAACCATGACCTCCACGTCCAGCGGACTGCAGACAGGGGTGGGGCTGTGGTTCAGGGAGGAAGCCAGTGGAAGAGAAGGAGCATGGCTCCAGTAGCTGGTGTGAGAAATCCCAAGGTTCATCTTAGCAATTCACCGACACAAGGCAAATGAAAGAAAGCTGCCCTTCTAACCTTGCACACACTACATACAACTCTCAGGCTGTGATTTCTCGATTCCACTTTTCCTTTAAGGCTCTCCTTGACATTAATATTAACCTGGTTTGCCCTGTAAATGAACATCAAAGTAGAGAGGTCAGGGAGGAGGCACTGCTCTGCTTGTACACTTGTTTCTCTACCTCCCCTGCAATCTTCTGTGCCCCAGGGATGAGCTGAGGCCAGCGACGCTTCCCTTCTGCAACACTGGTTTTCTGTCATGTTTCCAAGTATAAAACACGCTGCAAAGCAGAATGTACTCCCCTTCTGCTCTAAAATCTAGCTCAGTAGACCCTCTCTTCTCCAAGTTCACCTTCTTAGCTGCAAACACCTTTGGAGACACATCTTTGATAACCATCCCATAATTTGCAAAACAGAAATGTAGAAAAGAGAACTTCCAGTTAAAGCATTCCTACATTTTAGAAAACAAAACCAAGCATCTCCTAGTTCCTCCCTCATCAGTGAACTGGCTGGCCAAAGGCACTGTGCATCATTCATCCGTGCATCCTCAACCCTGGCACAGTGCCCGGCTCATAGCAGTTGTTTAACAAATGGTGGGGAACTGCACTTATTTCCACCTTATCTAGCAATGACCTCATTAAATCTTGGGATGTACATTGAAATCCGGTCACGTGTTTGAACATAACCACTTGCACAAAGGCTTTAGTCTTCTTTCCCATTTAATTCCTATTTTTTCTTTTCTCATCTATCCAAGGGGCTCCTTTTCAGGCATATTTCATAGTAATGCCACATATCAAACAATACCATGCTGAATAGAATCTGATCTTCTGTATCACTGGCGAATGAAAGAAAAGATCAGCACATTGAGGCTACCTGGGTGCGGGGTGCACAGCAGACACAGGAAAGAACAACTGACTTCAGCAAGCAGACAAGCGACCCCCTCACATGAAGCCACTTTCACTCACAAATCCTGTTCCTTATTTCTCTGCGCCTCCTTTTTTTTCTTTCCTCTTATCTTCACTTTCCCTCTCCGTTTCGTTTTCTTCTTCTTTATCAGGTCTTTAGGCTGTTTGGGCACCCACAAGATTGATCAATATTACAAAAGGCACTCAGATTGCCCATCCTATCTTTCTTACTCTAAGCATGGCTCTTGTCACCAAAGAAAGGATGTCCAGGTTCAAAAAAGTCATCACTGGTCTCCTACCTTTCATCTCCCATAACAGATCGTGCAGGACGGAGTCAGCAGAGCAGGTATGTTTAGGGTCTCCCTGTTTATCAGTTTGTCGTGGTAAAGTGACAGCCATCTTACTGGATAACTCAGAGAAGTTTACATACTTTAAATACAAATGATTATTTTTAATAAGTCAAGATAACGTTAGTCAACTCCTTATCTATGAATTGTTTACTGGAAAAGAAATTAAACGCGATGTGTTTACCTGTTTTGAAATCAACATATACTTAAAAGAAAAGTATATTCACAAATACCACCGGTTTCTAAGATAGTTCCTTCTCTACAGAGAAATGTAAGATTCAGAGAGTTCAGATACTGATGTCCCCAAATGAAACAGACCTTATGTCTGTTATGGGTTCACTGCCCAAGAGTTCTTGCTTTAAGATTACTGACGTACGATAAATATTACAATTTTACACTTTCTCGGTAATTTTTCCTCTCCCTCTCTTTCTATACCAAAATATATGCATTTCTATCCTCAAGCAATTTCAATAGGTGGCATTTCTGTAAGTCACATCCGCTCACACTGGTGTGTTTTCCTTACTGATACTGTCCTAACCCAAGCCAACTGCCCCTTTTGGTAAAAAGTTTTAAAATATTAGAGAGCTAATTCTATTTTTTTAAAAAAGTATATAATAACATAATTATTCCACCAACTTTGGAGTTTATTCAATTAAGAGCCCCATTGTTTAAGAAATCTATGTTTTAATAGGTGCATTCTGAGAAATAAGGTATGGCCTAAACAGTAAAATTAAGTTTTTGAACTTTGCTGACAAATTTTGTCCTTAAATTAATTTTTAAATATCTATATTTGTGTGTCAAAGCTATCTCACCATTCATATTGAATTTCCTTAAAAATTAGCCTCAATTATAATTTTTCAATTTGTTCTAAAGCAGTTTTTCCTGACTCTGATTGAGCAATTAAATATAAACCTGATACTTTTATCAATTATGTATCTTTTAACAATGCATGCTAATTAGGGCATCAATATTTTTTATACCAAAAACATCCATGTTAATCACCCAGATAATTTATCAGAGGGAGCAAATAGTGAATTAAAACTAAAAGCAAAATTCTCTTGAAGAGATAAAAGCCTTCTTGGTTACAAGATGGCATTCAACAAGGAAAGATACAACGGTGACAAGTCACCATATTTAGATTTGCGAAAACATGTGATCACTGAAGGTCCAAGCAGTGCCCTTGATTATCAATAAGTATAAAGTGCTCTGAAAGCACATAATTAGTAAGCAACTCGTTCCAAAACCCTTTAATGTTAACAATATTTTTCCATGCCCCGTGCAACCCTGACTTTAGATTCTGACCTTCATTATCCTGGTCTCTCCAATACTCATCTTTGGGTCTTTGGTATTTTCTTGAATATACCTTTGGCACCTAGTTTTCCAATCTGTTTTATCAGTTAATGACAATTCTTAAAATGATATACGCCACAGAACATAACTCCAGACACTGAAATCAGACATCTTACTCAAACCTCCAAGAACATTATGGAGCATTTCAAACATTTCAGGATCTATCCAACTTGTTAAAGAATTATCTTTAAAATTGCAAAATATAGGAACGTATCTAAACTTCACCATCAAAGGCATTCTGAGACATTTTGTCAAATAGTGAATGGTCGACTATTATACAAAAATCAGTGCAAAGTTTCATCCAGACAGCCTTAAATCAACTCTTACATGAAGAAATAACATCATGTAGAATTTCTGTTGTCCTCATCAATTTTTTGCAGATAAGATTTTTTAAATTATCTGCCTGTTAAAATCAAATGTTATCTGCCTACCCTTTTCCTGAGCTTCATAGCCTGTAAGAATGACATTACAAATAAAATTAAACTCACCTTAAGGCCCACCACAAATCTTAACTGACCTCTAGAACTTACAGGTAAGCCCACCTGCAAGGCTATTTTCTTAAATTTCACTTTTAAAAAGAAAACTCTATCAAGCCAAAAAAAAAAAAAAGTAAAATGGATCAGTGTGGAGTGTTCTGGTTGTTACATTCAGCAGTTAAATTGCAGTATGTTTGCCCCCGTCTTGAATTGCCACTAATGGTAAAAGGAGAATGGTGTCAACCACTTATTTGGCACGATGCTTGACAAGCCAAAGCCTTTCAGAAAGAACCTACCCTTCCTCTCATCATTTACAGAAAATTAAATTCATTCCATCCTTAATCCTCAGGGACAAGACATTATCTGTTCAATCTGAATCTGTTACTTTTTGTTACTTTCCACTAAGAGTGGTAGAATTTGGAAATAGGGGGCTTGAAATGAGTCTGTGTAAAAACTTGATATAGGTCCCCTTTCCTACACATCTTATCTTTAAAAACTGTTTGCTTCTAAAGCACTTATTCTCTGCTTTATAATATGTGGACATATTTTCAGTTTGGCTGGATGATACTAAGGACTGCTGAATAGTAACCAGGGTTCTCTCCAGTCAGTTCAGCATGCATCTCATCTTTGATCTCAAGGGCACTGGTAATTAGTGCCTTATGTTAACATCATCACTATAAACAGTTCAGGCATTTAGAAACAAGGTATCAATGGACTGTAACAGTTACTTTAATTCATTTTATAAATAAGCAACTGAGAATTTTGCTCCAAGTGGCTGCTAGTGTAGCCCATTCCATAGATGGCATTCTCCGACGCATAAGGCACAATATGATACGAATGCAGCTCTTCATAATAGAGAGACTGAGAACAGCATTCCTGTACCATAAACTTCAGCCGTTTTCTTGTATCAGAATAAGCAGTCTTATAACAGGGAGCTTCTTTAAAGTATTCATAGCTCTCCTTCTCCGTCTCTAGATGGATCTTCCTCAGCAAATTGTTAATTAACACAGACCTTCTTAAGTAGGTTTCTGGGTCTTCAAGAAACCTGAGCTTCTCCAGAGAGAGTTTAAGAATGCAAGTCCTGTCCTCGGGTAATATCAGGTGCTGGAAAACAAACACATCATTAAATCTACATTTTAGAAAAGTGAAAACAAGAGCCTTTGCTATTGACCAGACTCAGAAAAATGAAAAAAAAAAAAAAGGTAATAAGTAAACCCTTACTTTTGGAAAATACCCATGGTAATCTTGATGTAAATCTTCTTCTTCTGCATATTTTCTCTTAAAGTAGGCTACTTTCGACGTTGTTAATGTATATGTTAATACTTTTGTTGGATAAGCTAAACAAAATAAAATAATTGGAGAAAAGTCAGATTCTACTGTAGCAAAGAGTATAAGTTCTACTGGTGAAAAGAAACTGGTGACCCCAGAAATTAACATTCTCTCTTCATTTACTAGACAATGTAGTGAAGCAGACAGTCTCAACTGTCCCGTGGCTGAAAAGCCTGTTTGCAGGCAAATATCACTATTCAGACCCAAAATAGATGTTCTACATCAGAGAATTATAGTTACTTCCTTATGCAGCCCCTCAGAAATAAAGTGCATACTTACCAATCCTCTATTTAATTCCATGCCATTGAATGTCAAAACATACCCAGGTTTGAAGTTGATGCCCGAAATGCAATGGAAGGAGATGTTATTTTTCATCATTCTTTTAGTTCAACTGCCTCATTACAGAGGGCATTTAATGTTGCTAGGCATTAAATTTGTTTAAAATGGTTGGTGACCCAATTAATCCTTTAAAGAAATAACTGCGTGTCTACAGACAAACCCTAAGACATGGTCACGGTATAACCACCCTCATAACACATTGCTTAATAGACGTTAACTGTACGTAAATAAAAGGTTTATACAACGTAATGACTAGAAAACTTGACCTTGGTATAATTTCTTAAAGTGAAAATTTTTATTCCCTCTTTTAAAATATTATTGTTATGAATTCTGACTTGTTTAAGGAAAAACACTGTTCTGAAAGATTTTCAGGTTTGGTTGAAAGGGAGTTTTTAGTGTGTCCGCTAGGTGGTGCTCATATCACAGAAAAGAGGCAAGTTCGGCCTCAGAAGCTGAAGATAGATATGGCGAAAGCACCGAATCTGGAATTCAAGTGGTATTTACTCATTCAGTCTCAGTGGGCCAGATCAGAAAGAAAGTTCATACTTAAGCATCATGAATTTGACCCCTAAAAACAGCCTGAAATATTTCTAGGTATTAAAACCATTTGAGTCACAAAATGAGTAGTTTATTAATGTGCTGGTTACAGAAATTTACAGTCAACACATTTGCTGTTCTTCCTCTAACATCTTAAATTTTTTGAATTTTAAATATGTGCTCTTCACGAACATGCCTCTTCTAAGTTCTTCCTCCACTCGGTGGCATCTGTGCAACATTTTCTGTAGTTTTTCATAGCTGGTTGTTTTTCCTGAACCAGCAGGAGAAGCTACAAAGATCACACCAAAAGCATTCCACTGTGGACTATAAACCCAAGAGAGCCTTAAACTGAGTTGGCATGTTTCGTAAGAGAAATAAGAATTTTAAACCACTGGTGTGTCTGACCTAAAAAGAGACAAATGTGTAAATGACCATTTACAGTTGAAAGAACGTCAATAATTGCTATACTGTATACAATTCCTGAATTCAATAAGCATATCTCAGTTTGTATGGTTTGGTTTTTTTTTTCATATTTCAAAAGAGTAGGAAAAAGGAGAATAAAATCGATTGTAATGAAAACAAAGGAAGCATCGCTGAGTCTAGTTTTCTCAGGGGCTGTTTTCAGTAAACTACATCTGCTTAGGTGTATTTTTTAAGGATTTAGTCAAATAAGTAGGTAAAGCTTTGAGTTGTTCTGTGATGACAGTTAAGTATTGTTACTGATTTCTTTTCAAACTGCTTAACTAGTTGATGCCGTAGTGGTTCTCAAAAGTCAGTGAGCGACAGAATCATCTAGAGAGCTCCTAAAGATGCAGACTGCTGGGTCCCACTCCCAGATTTCCAATTCTGTAGGTGTTGGCTAGCAGTAGAGAGTTTATATTTCTAACAAATTTCCGGTGGAGCTGATGGTACAGGTCTGGGGACTGCATTTTGAGAGCCTCTGTGTCATAGCATTAAGCAAGTGTAGTAGTAACACTATGACAAAAAGTTGAAAAACAGAACGTTCAGCCAATCACCTGATTGCCTAATCATCAGAATGTCAAGCAATCGGCTTGATTGATTTTTGTTTTTGGTTTTCTTACTGCTATTGTGACATGGGCTACCTTGGCTTAGAAGCTTTAGCATCATGAGTAAAGCCAGACTCCATTTTAACTAAACAGCGAAGAATGAGGTCACTTTTCAACATAAGTTCCTGGGTTCACATTGAGAAGGACTGATGACTGTTATTAGCATAATAGCTGAACAGGTCACTGATTTTTTGTTAACAAGGTTCAGTGAATTACTATAGTGCAGGAAAGGGTGAGGAAAAATTTGGAAATGTACATATTATCTATCTATCTATCTACCTATCTATCTATGTCTATTCATTTTATTTTACAAGGTAATGCAATGTCTAGAGCATTTATGACCAATTAAAAACCACTGAATGAATGACACAAGGGAGGGCAGGTGGCAGTGTGGAGAAATGAATGTCAAATAAACCAAGTGATGATCTGGAAAAGATATTTTTTATTTAACATCAAGACCAAAATTTACACCAGCAGCTCCAAGGTTTATAGAGATTCTGTCTGCTATATTCAGGCAGTTATCGTAAGATAGAGAATACATTAGAGCCTGGAAACACAGTAAATTCTCAGGGGTCTGGATTTGTGTCTCAGCTCCATAGGCAACACACTTAGCCACTTAGTTTATTGCTCTTAAAAAATACCGCCATGGGTTGTTGAAATGCTGAAAAGCTTTCACAGCTGGTATCAGCTTGACAATTACTTCCTCACATGCTGTTTAGCTATTTGCAATGTTTTCAGCATCCCATTTTGGAGGATGCCTTTAGCCACTTTGAGGCTAAAATATATAGCAAACATAAGTTCCTACATCTGTTTTCTTGGCTGGATGAAAAATCAAAAAATTCAGAACTGGAAACTATTTATTGATCACATGGTTCAGCCTACAAGATTTACAGATGAGGAAACTGTGGCCCAGAAGGGTTCAATGATTTCCAAACTGGTGTGTGGCTAAGAGTTTGGGTTTTGAAGTCAGATGGAAGTGGTCTAGCTCATACATTTCTTAGTTGTGTGACCTTGAGAAAAATACATAAACTCTCTACAAATTTCATTTGTAAAGTGGGGATAGAAATAATACTGGCTCACAGGATCACTGAAATAATTCGTGGAAAGTGACTGGCACTGTGCCTAGCATATAGTGAGCACTCAATCAATCCTAGCTCTTCTTAGTGCCAAGAGGCACAGACCTATCCTAGGAGCAGATCCCAGCCTGGCCTTCCAGCTCTGACCTGAGACTCCTTCCACCACCCTGCCTCCTAGAGATATTAGATTATGATTAGAAAGTTAAAACACTGCAAAAGAATATTTCAAATGGTCAAGTTGAAAATAGTACAGGTTCTCTAATAGCTCCAAGAAACTGCTTCTGTATTTATTGTCGCTGGTCGTACATTTTGGGTGAAGGAAATGTAACTTTTTAAAAACATCCAGATAGTCATTTGGAGAATTAATTAAAGTTACTCTGAATTTCCAAAGAAGGTCACCCTGTTATGACCCAGTAAACATTTGTAAACCTATTCCTATAATTCTCCCACCATAAAAAGCCAAACTCAGACCAGCCTATTATTCAAATAAAGCTGATGAAATAGACAAGAAAAAGTAAAATGACCTTAAATCTTCACAGTCAGCATCCTGAGCATATAAATTATAAAACTGAATTAGGCTGAGCCTAAATTTATCTCTGAAAGTAAAATGGCTAATGCTGGCTTGAACATTCAGATTGTTTGTAATGCTCTAACCTCTGGGCACATAAAATATCTGTGCCACCCTCACTGGATTTCCTAGTCCAAGACTTCAACAAACAACAAATTAGAAGTCACAGAACAGAATGACCATCCCTGTCATCACAGTTCTGATGTACAATTTATACCTATTTCTTTAAATAAATGTTTTAAATGTAATTACAAATGATTGGTCAAAGGCTCTTCCTTCTTCTTCCGCTTCTGCCCCTAGACAACTGAAATCTTATTATCGTACAAAAGTGATTTCATTTGGTGCACGGCCCACGGGCAGTACATTAAGGAAAGATCATCCACAGATTAGTTTACAAACACTTCGAGAGTACAGACGGTAATAAAGGAACAACTCCTGCCATAGTAACCCATTCTTTGTCAGAGACCATGAAGAGCCAGAGAGATGGTCAACGTATCTTAATTTTGGTAAGGTTTTCATCTTCTTCCCTACAACACCTTAATCAACACACTGCGAAACCAGAGTTGAGACCTTCCTATTGGATGTGTGCCTCTGTAGCCAAAGACAAAAGAAGAGTTTGATCAATGAGGAAAATAAGGTGGTTCTGGTCTCAGATCAACAACTGACTCATGATGTGGGCAACTCAAGAGAAACTGTCTCGTTCATTTCTCTTTGCGTGGTGTTAGCCTGGCATGGGCCTTAAAAAGCCTTTATCCTTTCCTATCTAAATAATGCTGTGCTCACTGCAAAGCTACCAAAACCCTCCCTGAGGACCACGGGCACTTCTGTTTAGGAAGAGTTATTCCATCTGTCACTGTGAACCACATTCCACCATCTTGCTGCACGGTTTCAGATATCTCAGCATCACCTTCTAGGGCCATCCCATGGCACTGGTTCAAATCCCAGGTCTACATTTTATTTTCTTAGTGACTTTGGACAAAGTGCTTAATCTCAAAAAGCTTGAGTTTCCTCATTGATTAATTCA